TTTACTGTTAAAATAATTGAATAAAGAAATAAAGTATATTTGCATTGAAGGTTGTGCGAGAGTGATCATTCACCCCATACAGTTTGTAGAGGGAATTTCTCCTCTATTAAGTAATGCACCGAGTAAGAACTAGGGAAGCAAACGGCATAGGAATGCAAGACGGTGCTAATTGTGCATTGTATAATCCATTCATCCCATTGGTTAAAACATGAAAATCTGCTATAATTTCACAAGTTAGCGAATTTTCTAATATTTTATTTAATGTCTGTTTTCGCTTTCATGAAAGCTTTCTTTAGCTACAATATTAAGGCAATTCTATGTGGAGAACATAGCAAATTTGAAGCTTCTTTTAGCTATTGTTTGGAGTGCTTATGATTGGATAAGAGGTTTTGATGCAAAAGAAACTTTGTTTCAAATAGAGTTTATCGACATTTTATTTCAAAAATGCGTTACCCATAGGTTGATATATAATCAGTGTGAAAACCAAGACATTTGTATGTGGGGAAGTTGCAATGCCGCAGAACAATAGAGTTCTATAGTTCTTACGCGCATTGTTACTTAACAAAGCTCAACGCATTGCCTAACCCAATATTTCACTGAGCCTAACCATTAAGCCATGGCATCAGTTCGCCCGAGTGAACCCGAATTTTAGGTATATTTATTTAATGATATTTATGAACAACCATGTATTTGTACACAAGATTGTATGCATAATAACTGAACAATCTCTCTGTACATCATAGTCCTGTATTTATTTTATTTGTACATCCATACAGCCTTTTGCAAAAATTATGAGAATTGTTGAAATATCTAAATATCATAATATCAAGTGCATGATGGGTAATCCCGCGCGATGCCCTTTGTCCCTTGTCTTTGTAGTTCAGTTTTTTTTTTCGGCTACGGACTTATCCGTAGTTCTGAACATTTTCTCGATGTCAACAATGAATTATTCTAGCAAACCCGCGTGTTCGGGACAAAGGGCTGCGCGCGGGATTGCCCATCATGCACTTGATATTATGATATTTAGATATTTCGACAATTCTCATAATTTTTGCAAAAGGCTGTATATGGGAGTCGTGCGACAGAAACTACTCACCATTAATAATTCACATGATCACGTGATATTGATAGCTATTCATCAGGCCGTCCAATAAAACGAGAGCAAATGACAAAGAGAATGCACCATTAGCATCACTAATTCGATATTTTTAGGAATTGGCGGTCAGGCTACATGATAGCTCACAAACTAAGATTTTTGTTTGAACGGGAAATATATTCCCAATAACTTCTCTGTGCCATGCAAACATAATGAACATTGAATGGTACTACAAGATTCAGTAAGTCTTTTATTCACACTTAAATGCTTTTAATGCGTTTTTTACACAATCAAAAAGTACTATTTTACATGGTCTAGTTTTCCTAGGAAACGTTCGTGAAAATAGCCAGCGTTTACATAGCGTTTGTTGTGGGGACTTAACACAAAGCGTCTCCATACTGGGACTTACTGAAAAAGTGCGTGCAAAATAACATGAATATGATGTATTCGTGAAATAGGTATAAACGAACAAAGGCCTGCGTCAAACGTCGAACTTTCTGATTTACCAATTTCAATTCAACAAATTGCGCAAAGTGTTTTCTATTGTATGTCCTCTTATTGACACACTCTTGACGTCATAGAATGAGTTTTGAACATTTTATGACGTCAAAAGTGTGTCAATAAAAGGACATACAACAAAAAACCAAAAAATTCTAAATAGTAGTGAAAATCATTATCTTCTTTCAATAGACCTAATCGGCGTCATCCCAATTCAAACCACCCGGGAGTAAGATTCATTGTTCGTTGTATTTTCATTTCACAGTTGAATTCTTAGAAATCAACTGTTCTTTTTCCCACAGGATTTGAATTGGGTGGCAACGTACATAGCAACGCTGTTAGCCGATTAGGTCTATTGAGCGACCGCGCGAAACGTGTTGGTGTCAGAACAGTGTGCGTATCCTCTGATTGACACCCTCTAATCAGCCAATAAGCGCGCTAGAATTTACACAAGTGCGGTAAAATATTTATTGGCTAACATTCAAAAGATATTGAGCACATTCTCCATTTATGGCGACAATCAATGGCGTACTTCTCTTCTTTCAGCACAAATTTTGAATTGACTTCAAATACGCTTAGATTTCTGGTTTCAACTTGTGTTTTAAAAAATGATTTTTACCTCTACATTTGGAACAAAAATATTTGAACAGAATATTGTAAAAGTTCGACGAGTTTGAGCATGGCCTAGGTCATAGTTATAGTTTTGCTTTAGATATATAGATAGTTTATTGAAGCTCTAAAATTGCAGTTAAAATTGGACAACTTGATTAGATAAAACTTTACAAGAAATAATATAAAATTCTACAAAAAATGTTAAAATTAAGTACAGTTGTAGAAACAAGAAACTGTTTTTGAGTTAATTTGATTTGCAGATTAGTCAGTGCAGAGTATTTAGACTTTGATCTTATTGAAACTAGGCTGAGATCTCTGGTTTTTGCTACGGATCAACACATATATCTTTATTGATCAATCTCCAAAATAGGCCTTTAAATATGTATTTTGATATTCGCGAAAGAGATATCCAAATTAACATTCTGTTTCTTTTTAAATAGGCTTCCGTCGATTTATTCCCGGTGTCACAATACTCCTTTTGCATGCCATTTGTATCGTTAAGGTCCTTCCGCAAACTTTGATTTGAAGTTACCCTTCGGTTTGAAAGCCTCACTTGAGCCAGAATATTAAAAATCAAGCATTTAAAAACACATAAAATCACAATATCTATACATGAAATTGATCCGAAACCTATACATTCTAAGAAATTTACCATTTTCTTGAAACTGAAATAATTGTCTTCAAGTAATTCAGAGACAAAGCAGTTAATTAAACCCTATTGGTCAACTTTACAATTCCCAGCGCCATCTTGAAAGGTAGCCGAGCCTTTGCATCAAAGCAAGACAGAAGTTGAGCTTGCAATGATAGATACCTGCGAATAATTGTCTTAGGTGTAAACAAAAGGTATCGATGGCCACAACTCGCTTTGATGCAAAGGCTGAGTTACCTTTCAAGATGGCGATTGGAACTTTAAAATGGAGTGTTCAAAAGGCCGTCGCTATTCAAAACTTTTGTAGTATAAAAATGGTGTCATCCATTTATTTATGCTCTACTTACACCTACAATAGCAATTATATAAGCTCCTGATCTCTCTTCTGAGCTCCCTCCTGAGCTCCCTCCTGAGCTCCCTCCTGAGCTCACAGCACCTAAGCATCCACAACACACAAGTAAAGATATTATAATACCGATAATAGATGATGCAGAGGAGGAGCCTTTGGGCCTGTTTGGGGTAAAGGTATGCCTTGAATGGATGACACATGGGCTCATCGAAGCACCACAGTCTTTCCTGATGTCTTTGTCAAGACCGAGCCGGTTAAAGCAATTAGTTGTCTTCCTCAGTTTCCAAGCAGATTCTGGAGCTGGTTCAACGCCACTGAAGTTCCCATATTGGCACAGCACCTTATCGTTGTAGAATATGTCACTGTTATTACAGGTACAGATGGGATAGTTTTTACCATCGTATACACATTCAATGACAGTACGTTCCCAGATAACTTTATCTCGAATATAAGAATAACCAGAAGTAACACACTCGATCACATCAATTGGACAATTGTAACCAGGATTCGGGACGATTTGACACATACTTTTGTGAAAAGTGTATTTGCTAGCACATTTCACAGCTCCATTCTTTACTCTAACATCTGAAATCTTGCAGTAGTCTTCCAGGTATTCGCACACAGGATACGCATTTGTTTTGTTCATTTTGGCATTGTGACCGGCTGGATTTTTCCCCGGTTTAAACTGATTATCTAAGCAATGCGATGAACAGTTCTTAAGATCAGATGTTTTCCGCATAGCACAGTAAGGTTGCTTTTTGTCCGCTGTTCCTTCTGGTATTTGGCAGGGACAATAATCTACCTCAGGATCTTGATCAGAGAGGCAAAGACTACGACAAAATGGTCTCGGTAACCGATTTCGGAAACCCCATCCTTCAACCTCCCGGCCAAACCTTTCGAATGACTGTTTGAATTGAGTGCAGGACTGATTAATATCTTTTGGAAAAAAACTGTAGGTTGAAGGAATGTATGAATCCTTTAAGTAAGGATATATCAGTGGACTAAGTTTTAGTTTTAGTGCCACTTCTTGGAGGCTACACAGTTTTGTAAACTTCCTTTTGAAGCTGGAGCTTCCAAAACATTCCTGGAAATATTTAGGCACATTTATTTCAAATTTCATGTTTCGGAAATTAATGAACAAAACATTTCCGCCTGAAAAATGCGTAAATCTGAGCTTTTCCGCTTTCTTAGCAATGGACTGAAGCAAATTGCCATTTTTAAAATCGACTAGTAGCTCCAAAGGGCAAGTTACAGAGCCATTTACTGAGCCAGTTAAGTTCATGATACCCAATTCGTCACATCCCTCTGGTTTCTCTAGTCCACAACCGGTCACCCTCTTTCGGCAGCAATCAAGGATTCTTTTTTCAACTGGAGCTATTGATTTGACAGATTTTGTCAGACTTCTTGAGAAGATTTTGAGAAATTGATCAATTTCTGTGGTTAGGTTGAAGACAGTGTCAAAAATGTCGTCGATCTTAGCTGTCACATTTAACTGATCAATGAATTTATCCATCTTCTTAGAACAACCCTGCATACCCTCCTTCCATGTTTCAATATTCCAGAGAACATATCCAAAGTACTTATTGAAATTAAAGCAGTCAGAGCAATTTTCAGGGCGAGAAGGGCACTCCTTGTTGGCACATTCCTGTATTTCGAACATGGCTTGTAGTAGGACTTTGGAGGATTCTCCGCTCGACTTAAGCTCGCGTTCGACATTGCTAAGAATCTTTCCTATTGAGGTTGATTCTATGCAAGCTCTTGTACCTTCAAATAGACAAAAAAGTTAAGAACAATCATTAACTTTTTTTCTTAGTTCGTATATCCTTTATTTCAATCAACTGGTACGCATCACCATAGCCTAATGCCTATGAACAAACAACTGTCATTTATGTAACAGTGGGGGTTCGCGAACAATTGGAGAAACATAAACAACACAAATTTAACAGTCTTCTCTTGTTCCTTGTACAAACTTCTTTCAATAATCTACTAAATTACAAAGACGACACACACGAGGAGCCTGACTAGTGCCCAGACCTAAATGCGTGCGCTCCTAAGAGCCTGTTACAACATGCCTATGAAATGTACAAAAAGAGGTAGGGTTGTCGTACGTATTCCATATATGGTATTAACTAACAAGCGTATAGAGGCCCCTAACAAGCGAATAAAAGCACCTAACAAGCGAATAGCGGCCCCTAAGGAATCCCAATTTACCGTGCTATTAGCAATGCAAAATACTTTAAATGTCACAAACAATTCGTTGTTTGCCAGCGTAATCTCTCGTGGTCAAGTTAGTTAAGGCGCTTTACATTTGTAGTCGATGGTAGGTTTAGGGAAAAGGACGGGTCAGGCTATAACATGTTAAATTCATAATTCTAAGTTAAAATTTGATAAGAAAATTTTTAATAAGTTAAGTAGCTAAAAAGCTCGAATAAGTCGATAAAAAACTGTAGAAAAATATACAAGTGAAAAAAAGTATGGACCCCTGTTCGCTTGTTAGGTGCTTCTATTCGCTTGTTAGGTGGTTCTATTTGCTTGTTAGGTGCTTCTATTCGCTTGTTAGTTTGTGCTATATATGGAATACGTACTACAAACCCGCCTCTACAAAAATCAGACTGCCACATTTACACTGTTCTACTCTTGAAGGAAAACCTCTCAGTGAGTCGGTCAACTCTCGACTCACGGACGCCACGCTCTTACGGACACTCGCTATTGCGAACACTAAATTACGGCCCCGAGTGTTTCTGTAATAGTTAAAGGGCTACTTGGACGAAAATTGCGAAACCTTAGAATAGACTTGGAAATCAAATAGACCTATCCATATGGGTCTAATAATCATGAAGCAACTGATTTCAAGAAGATATTGATACAAATCCTTAATAATTTGAGCAAAAAATGTTGGAGTAAATGACGTCATTTACTGAATCCTTTTGTTCTTCCATCTTTTGAATCAAAATTTCTCTGATGTGGGATGATTCCAAAACAAATATTTTCCCTCGATTGTTTTTAATAGATATAAATGAGTCATATATTTGTATTTTTTGAAGTTTTGAAATAAGGGCATTTTCATGCAAGTAGCACTTTAAGCTGACTGTATTGAGGGTAAATCAGTGAAATGACGCAGGCAATGCGCTGTTATGCGAATATGTTGAACAACTGAACAGCCATTTTAAAATACCCAACTTGTTCCTTACCATTTTCCTTGATTTCGATGAGAAGATTTTCTAAACCCTCGCTGTTAGTTTGCTCTAAGAATCCTCTGAAAGAATACAGAACGTTTCCGACACCAATATAAGCATATTCTAAGGCTTTTATTGTCCTGGGTAGAATCTTTTCGATGATAAGTGTACGCATTTTAAAAACAGCTGGGACGATCTCACTGAACTTTGACATATAATCCATTTTCTTAAGAATCTGGTCCAGAGAACTCAAACTGTTTTCGAACATTGTCTTGAAGGAGTCAACTCTTCCTATGGTGGAACAGAGATATTTCAACTGGCCAATGGCTACGGCGAATTTCTTGACACACGATTCTTTATCGACGATGCTGTCATTTAGTTCTTTGAGAAACTTCTTGATGCTTCCTGTATGAAAATTCATTTCGGACGTTAATTCTTGACAATGAAATGGTAAGCGTATTTTATAGGAAAACTAATGAAACCAAGGCCACTTAAGTAAACATTGGAAACATATGACTGATTTGCATACAACACAATAAATAGCTAAAGAAAGCATTATCCTATCAGATCACAAGGGTCATAATCTTGTGCCAAATTATAACAGCATCGCCTACAATGTCCGATTCAAGTACTTACGTACCATAGCAAACTTGATTGAGCTCGTCAAAGTTGGAATTTCCAGGAAGACCTTGACTTGATATTCCAATATTGGTCGTGTCTCCAATTCCACCACAAGAGTGTGGCGTATATTGGCATTGCACAACGGCAATGATACACAACAACAAGACGAATAATCTGAAACTGGAAAAGAACAACTATTTTCAACAAATATAAAGTTTAAATGTATTAACCGTGCTACGAGCAGGGAGAGGACTGGGAACCAAAGAATCGTCATGTACTGGAAACCTCAGGGGAGTTTATTGTTATGCAAATTAATCCCGACGATTATTCATATACACTTCGTTTTTGTGGTTACTCCGTCTATAGACGGGTAACCACTATGTTATCGGTTTGTAAGTCCGTCCGTAACACTATCACGTGATTTGAAGGTCTAAATACAACTCAAACTCCATCCCCTGCAATTGCAAACTTGTCTCCCCCTGTAATTCACCATTCCTGCCCTATTAAAATTTTAATAGCAACAAAGACACAGCACATCAAATA